CCTTTACAAGTACAGTTGAAGCCCTCAGTGTATCCCTCCCAAGTCCTACTTCCCACCCTGTGTAACTATTCTGTATTTGGTGTTTATTGTTCCCTTTTTTGCTTTTTATACTTTTAATATATGTGTATATATCCGTGAGCCCCAGGTCTGTTGTTCATAATAGGGCAACATGCACCAAGCTCGTCCAAAAGTAGTGTAAGTCCTTAAGGAAGGAGGAGAAAAGAAGGGAGACCTAGAAGACATCCTTCTTTGACTCCAGCGGAAATCACTAACTGATCCTGCAAGTGGCTCCCTCTGGCCTGGCCTTACCCTGGAATCCCACGTTTACAGCACTTTCTATATGAGGTTTGACACATGTTTCAGACAGACTATCCATTACACCAACTGGCCTAGATTTGGGGAGCACACAGTGTTTCTCCTTTTTTTAATGCGATAAACCACACTCTGGCCTCAACTAGAAGAGAAAAGGACCAAAGATCTAAGAATGGGAATAAATCAGCAAAGACTGGAATGCACTATTCAGCACAGCACTCGGCCCACTCGGGGATGGTCTCTCCCCAGATGCTTTACTCAGCTGGAGACTGAAGCAGCTGTAACATGTAAAAGATCCTTAATAGATAGCAGAGCTCATATCCTTATTAATACAAAGGCCAAATTATTAACATTAATTATTATCCATATGCTAGCAATATTCCATATCTTGTGTTTTTGTACCTTTTGGACTGAGTTCAGTAAGAGGTAATCCTAATTTTAAACCTACTTTTAAAAGACATTTACCCAGTAATATTACCCTAAGGAGAGTTTGGTGATCTGATCTGAGGTTTCCTATAAACTTGTATTTCAACCTTAAATTAAAGAAAAAAATCACACTTTTAATAAGAACAGGGTACTAAAATTACTCTGAGGTACACGTCCCCATCTTGTAAGGGGGTGCCCGCTGCAGGATTTCATAGTTGCTATGAGGGCCCACAAAATGCTTATGTAAACAAGCACTGTGCAGACAGAATAAATAGCTCACATGTGCGCACTATGAACTCCAAATGGATATAAATGTGATGATCAATGAAACAACTTTTACTCAAAAAATGGTATTAAATGCAGAGTGGCTTTTTGGCAATTATATTTTCACAATCAATAGATACTAAAAATACCACTGTCATGGGGAAAGGCCTTGAAAGTTTGTGACTAAAGAGACTCTCATACTTGTAAAGGTTGGAAACCTCTGTTCTAAAAGACTGCGCTTGCTTCTGCAGACATTATCTAAACTCAGTATTTGAATCTGTGTTAATTCACATCCTTGACCGTGGCAGCTCTTGAGTAAACTTTTATATGGCATACACAGAGAGTTAGCATGGTTGCTTACAAGAGCCAAAATAACACCGTAAAATAAAAACCAAGCACAAGTGCTTATGTAAATTCATTATACGAAAACCAAATTAATAAGCTAGAAACTTACTAAATGAGGAGCAATTCCTTGTGACTTCCACAAATAACAATGTCCAAAACCTGAGTGTAAGTATTCCACAGTTATCTTAGATGAGAAAATTTTACGATCCTTAAAATAACCAGAACCTAAACGGCTCAGCCTCCTAGCTCATGTACACGGTGTGTAGGTCAACACTCAATTCGTCAGCAGGCAGAGGTGAGGCGTGACGCGGGCAAACACTGTAACTGACGCTCAACAAGACCAACTGACCAAGACCAACTCCCACCCAAGTCTCAAGCGTCTTAAAAGCCTTCAAGATCCTACTCCACTTTGAACTCTCTTTCCTGCAAATCTTCTATTTCTAACCATACAGTGATAGAGTATAAAGGAGACGAGATTTTAAAATGAACTTATAAATGTGACTATTCAAATCAACCCTTTTTAAAAAGTAAATATCTGATATTAACAAGTTTTCTTGTTTTCTTACCCCTTCTTATAAAAGAATTCAGAAAAATTATCTGTTAAACTTTCATAGGACATCAAAGCTGAGTGTTTCAGAGTTTTGATAAAGGTAAAACATTGTGAGATATTCTAATCCGCACAATATAGAAAGAGGGTATGCCAAAACACCCTCCAATAAGCCAACAAGCATACTAAAAAGAAGGAAGATAGCAAAAATAGAAGGAAAAAGTCTCATTACATCATCTTCCAAGTTCCTGGAAGCTGTTTGGGAAGTTATATAAGTATACTATTTCTGGGTATATATTTCTAGTAAGAATGCTTTAAGTAGGAGGTATGGGAGGTCAAAAATAACTATCATCTAATGGCAAAAATACTGAGTGCAAAAAAGTATTTTGTTTGCAAGCTTCATAAAATCAGGTTTTTTCATTACATAAAGAAACAAAGAACGAGAAAAAAAGGAAGATTGTTTGTTACAAATATGCTGATGAAATCAGATCAAGCCCATTGCTACTGAGGTCCACCTGCCTTTACTTATCTACAGCTTTGTAACTGAGAACAGTCACAGAATCTTACTTAAGTCCTCAAATAGACTAGAAATCCCTTGAGGGTAGGAGCTGTCTCTTCCTTTAATTACAAAAATCATGATCTGCACATCATGAGTGTTTAATAAATCTTCCTAGTAATATTTCATATTTGTAGTATTCTGAGGCAAATATACGGGAAGAGGTCTTTCTTGCCCAGGGTCACACCTCTTTTAAGAGGCCAAGCTAAGACCAAACTCCACTGTGTGGGGTATCAGGTCTTCTGCTCTTCCATGACTGCATGGTGGCATTTCTAAAGGCCTTTAGTTCCCAGTGATTACTATGAATGACGGAATAACACTGTGTCCTCTCCCCTAAAGAGGATCCTTTAACTGAAACCATCTGCAGAATTCTCCTCGGCAGTAGACAAACACCGCCACTCATGCTTTAGAGCCCTTTCTCTGAACCCATAACCTCCAGTCATTACACGCGATCAGCAGGGTGACAGCCATCTGTACGGCGTACAGTGGTACACAGATCTCAGTTGTTGTTATTTTGAACATAGCACAAACCAGACAGATCTTGAGCTGGCCCTGCCTTTGGACTTCCTTTTTTTGAGGAAAAAAGATTATGACTCTGATTTTTCATATAATTTCAGGATATAAATCAAGATTTATTAAGTATGAAACATGGGCTTACATTCATATCTGCATAAGAGTTTTGCATTTAAAAAATGAAGTTATATAAAATAATTACCTTTAGTTTGTTTGCTTCTTTTTTATCCCCAGCAAAAAATGAATTCTCATCAAAATGCAAAGGAAATGACCTGCATTTTAAAACACAGAATATTCATTTTCACATATTATAAAATATTAAAAGTCCTGCTGATGCAAGGTCAGTGATGAATAATATAATTAAAATAGAGTAGAATATACAGTAAAATCAACACTCTGATGCCCCAGAACAAATTCTCATCCTCAAAGACAAAAGCTAACTGTCTAATACAGTAGAAGTTTGGGTCCAAAACCCAATCTGTTCAAGTAATTATGAAAATAATGCAGGTAACAAGTACTAAAGAATGGCTATTAAAACTAAAACTATGTACCTTCTAGTACCCAGGCCAAAATAAAAACAAAGCTCAATTCTAAAAGACCTATGAACAAAATTCATTTTTAATTATTTTTTACATAGTTTTCCTTTCCCTAAATTGACTACTTAGGAACTTAATTTTAGATACCATTTGTCACTATTCTATTAATGTGTAGTTTAATATACAATTTACTTGATTTCATGAAGTATTTCCAGAAGTAGCATTTTGTTTTCTGCATCCTGAATTTTATTTCCAGTGAAGAGTTGAAAATCTGGGCGCTCAAAGAATGGTACCACTTTAGATAAAGCCCTTAATTCTATTAAGTAGAGAAAATACAAGTTCTTAAGCCTTCTTGGACCTTCTCCTTTGGTCAAAATTCCATCGAATCGCTGCTGAAATTCTGTAACGTTGTGTCCCCATTTCTTTTCCAACCAGGTATCTGAGAAGAAAGAAGAATTAAATATTAAAACCTGAGTTTTAAAATTAAGTAAATTAATTTCATTTTATATTTCAAAATACATATAAATATAATCACAAAAACTGCTTTTGTCCTAATTTAGCCTTTAATAGTTATATATTAATATTTATCTTCTAGAACCCATCCTTAAAAAGAAAATAAATTCAATGTTTTACTGAGAAACTAGGTTTAACAAAAATCAAATTTCTGAATATAAACATATATAAAACCAAAATGCATAATTAAAAAATGACTGACTGAACTTACTAATGAGTTTGAAACCCTACTTAAAATTAAAGTTACTCTATATTGTCTCTAAGATTTGAGAGAGACATTAATTCCACAAGAAATATGTTACTGATGAAAATCAACCATGGTCTCATTTTTCAACAGCATTCTTAAAGCATAAAGAGCAGCAGGAAATGCTTTTCCCCACTGAACTCCAGGTCTGAAGCTGGCACACAAATAAAAGGTTCTGATACAGCAATATCTAATGAGGAACAAACTGTGCTGTTAGCAGCTATTCTAATTCCCACAACAAGCAAGAGAACATTCCAAAGCAACGTGTACAATGCTGCGCAGCTTCTTAAAAGAAGGCGAGGAGAGCTAAGATCGTGCGGAGCCTTCTCTTATGCTACCTAGAGTTCCTACCTTCCTGCTTATTAACATTGAAGAATGAATTTTTACAATCTAATATTCAGCAGAGTCAGTCTTTCCCCATTCACATAAATTACCAGGAACATTTTAAGAATACCTAAGAACAAGTGTGGAGTGAGCAGGAGTGAACGTTACATACCCTGCAGTAGATACCGTGCACTCAAATGCACATTGATGCTTGCATGCAGGCCAGAGATAAGTCTGTAGAATGCTCTTTTTTCTACACAGAGGCCTAAAAAAAGCAATTTGGAAATAAAAATTTCATATGTGAAACTAGTAAGATATAAAATTAATTTTGTCTCTTTAAAATGAAAAAAATTTATCATTTAAATTTGTTTTAAAATTTCCAATTACCTTCTAGCCAACTGTAAAAAGTGTTCTCTGAAATTAAAAGAATAATAAGTCACAAGATTGTAAAAACGCCAAAATGTAAGTTTTTCAAAAGTTTTAAAGTATTATAGCAAATTTGTGCCCAAATGATTTAAAGATTGTTTAACTAAAGGTTCAAATTTTATTTGCAATTTCTCCCAAGGAAGGAGAGAAGCGCCTCGTACAGCTTCAGTGAAGAGCTCCGCAGCTGGGTCTCCAGAAGGCGTGAGCGTGGCCTCAGGTGGCCTCGTCTCATAACTTCCTGGATAAAGTGTTCTACGTGAGGCCAAAACACAGAATTTAAACAGTAAGTCAATCCATGGAAAAATACTTAGCCTTGATAACAGCTCATGCTATGAAAATTAAGAACTTATTGTGTTTTTTTAAATTAGAAAAGTAAATAAAAAGTATAAAATAGAATTGGAGGTATATTACTTGTATATAACTCATCATATACTATGCCATTCAATATTTGAAAAGAGTAATTCAAGGAAACGTTACAAAACCAAATATTAGTTATATTCTATGATGTAATAAGATCACTGTTCATATACTCAAACCTGGTAATTCTGCTTTTAGAATTACGTGTTAAAGAAATAATTCAAAAGGGGGGGTATAGTTTGTAAAAGACAATTATGTTATATATAATTTTTAAAATGTGAAATAACGAAAATGTACAATAATGCCTAAGTTAACATGATAGAATACTATATAACTAGTTAACATGGTAGAATAATATAAAACTATTAAAATGGCAAGAATGTGGAACATGACAATATGTGAAAATGTTTATTTGGAATAATATACAAAAAGGCCTAAGAAATAATTATTATAACTACATACGTATTCTATGCATGTGTTTGCTAGGGATGGCAAACACTGTACTGTACAGTCCTTCTCACCAAAGTTGCTTATAGTGATATTGAAAATGAACAAACAAGCATAAAAGTAACGGAAGGAATGACAAAGAGAAGCAGCAATAAATTAGACTATATGAAAACTTAAACATCTGTTTGTCAGAAAACTTCACAAACAAAAGCAAAGTGGAAACAATAAAGTGAGTAAAATGTATATTGCAAATACAACAAACAGATACTATCCTAAATATATAAAAAGGTCATAAATGTAATAAAAATGCAAGAGTATCCATTTAAAATGGGCAAATAACATGAACAGAGAATTCACAAAGGAAAAAATACAAACGGTAATAACAGATAAAAATTGCTCAGTCTCACTCATAATAAAAAATGCAAATTGGGGCCAGCCCTGTGGCGGAGCAGTCAAAGTTCCACATACTCTGCCTCAGCAGCCCAGGGTCTGCAAGTTCGGATCCCAGGCGTGGACCTACTCCACTCATCAGCCATGCTGTGGTGGCATCCCACGTGCAAAAGTAGAGGAATATTAGCACAGATGTTAGCTCAAGACTAATCTTCCTTAAGCCAAAAAAAAAGAGGAGGATTGGCAATGGATGTTAGCTCAGGGCAAAATCTTCCTGACCAAAAAAAAAAAAAATCAAATTAAAACTACAGAGATACCACTTTTAACAGTAAAGATAAAAATATGATAATACTTAATGATGACAAGGATCAGGAAAAACTAGCCAGCACACTGACTGGAAGGGGTGTAAACTAGCACATTCTTTCAATGACAAAAAGCAATCTGGTCATATGTTATCAACAGCCTAAAATATCCCTATCTTTTGATCCAGTACATCCAATTCAAGAAACCGAGGCTGCTAAGGATGAATGTTCATGTCCCACCTAAAATTCATATGTTGAAGTCCTAACTCCTCATGTGATGGCATGTGGGGGTGGGGCCATTGACAGGTGATTAGGTTTAGATGAGGTCGTGAGGGTGGGGTCCCCATGATGGGATTAGTGTCCTTATAAGAAAAGCAAGAGACATGAGAGGTCCTTCTCTGCCGTGTGAGGACAACACAAAGGCCAACCATCTGCTAGCCAGGAAGAGGGCCCATGCCAAGAACCAAATCTGCTGGCATCTTGATCTTGGACTTCCCAGCCTCAAGAACTGTGAGAAAATAAACGTCTTTTAAGCCCCCAAGTCTATGGTTCTTTGTTAGAGTGGCCTGAGCTGATGAGGACCTAGGCTAAAGAATCAAGCAGACACAAGAAGAAGAATATACAAAACTATAAATATATCTGTTATATACTATCAACATATAAATAATAATACTTATCAAAAGATTAACAGAGAAGCAGTACGAGGTAGTAAGTAACTAAGAGCACACAGCCTGGAGCCAAACTGCCTGATGTGAACCTGCTACTCACAAGCCCCACGACTCTCGCTGAGTCACTAAGCCTCACTGGGACTCATTTTCCTCAGCTGTGAAGTGGAGATAAAAATAAAACCTCCTAGGATTGTCAAAAGAATTCAATGAAATCATATTTGCTTTGAAGAGTACTGGCACATTGTCTTAGCCATTATCATTATCAATTATTTTGGGGTTGTGGGATTACAAGTGATTTGTTTCCTTATAAAAACATTTAGGCTTTTCTCCCCCAGGTTGTGGAGCATGAGCTGGGAGAGTGGGAGTGTAATACTTCTTGGACCTAGTCTTCAATGAAATTTTCAATTGTCTTACAATCCTGAAGCAGTTATTCTCAACTTGACTCGATTCTGATCCAGTTAGATAACCACCTAACACACAGCTGTCAGAGAGAACCATATCTGAGCAAAATGAGTACTTATGAATACACTCATAAATGAGACGGCTGCTCCAAGCAGAGCCTCCACAGGTTAACATTTTCTCTGACAACGAGACAGATGGAGAACTTCAAAAAGTACTGAAAAACCAAAACAGCCTCCTCTACTGTAGCTAGAATACAGCACAGAACTAGGAGAGCCAAGGAACAAGGCTACTCAAGTGAAAACTACAGGATCACCCACTAACAAAAGATGAGGCATCTTTGGAAAAGCAATCTTACTACTGAAGAACCTCTCTCCCAAACAGTACAGTTTTGATTCAGTATTTTATTCAGCTGCTACCATTACTATAACATAAAGTATAATAATAAAACAGCAATGTTATCAGACTTCAGTATTCTGTTATTTAGACATAAGGCAAAGCAATTCATAAAAATAATGTTCAGAAGATAGAGGATTTTGAGGCAGAGGAAGTGATACCTCATATTTTAGCAATTTCTTCCAGCTGGACTAAAGCTAAGTACTGCTTTGTCTTATCATATTGTTAAACATATGGGCTTAAAAACAACAAAAATAATTTTAATCTCAATCATAAAGCAAAAAGACAAAGTAAACCTAACAAATGTTAAAATTTTTACCATTACAATTAACTTAAAGAGTTGGTAGTGATACCCACACCTAAGAGTCAGCATAAGCCTGGGAAGCCAGTAGATCAACTCTGATCGTGCCTGGAACCTTCTTCCTACGTAAAACCCGGCAGGTCCTAGAGCTCAGCCAGGAAAGGAGAGGGAGTTTTCCCACATACACAGAGGCCGGGCAGATGCCTGCTTCCATGGGCAGAGGCTCGAACACATGGGCGAATTGCCCTACTGCCTAATCCCAGGCACAACAGCCATTTTCCCTTAAACTGTGCTTTCACCTCCAGAATTTTAGACAAAGAAATAAAATTAACTTCTTCTGAGTCTCAGACATGGAAGAAAAAAAAGAAGGTTGCCAAATAAACATCTGAATGTATAAGCAAATTCACATGTAATATAGGATAAAGAAATTGTACTTACCTTCACTTTTCCCTGAAAAACAAAACAAAATGTTTATTATTATAAACTCCTTCCAGATGCCCCTTTTAAATTGCCACACTTTCATAAAAATAAGACTTTTAATAATGGTTAGTTTTAGTCCATCAGTTCATCTACATAAGCAAAGTCAGAGAGAGGAGCTTGTGAGGGCCACTCTGTCTGGTGGTGACACGGGTTGCGTGTGCTCTGACTAGATGAAGAGTACAGCTCATACAGAACTCACCGTGGGGCGACAGGAAGGAAACCTAACCCACCACTGGAGAGCACTCATAAATACCCCCAGGATGTACAGTTATTTGGCTGGCAGAGCCTTTTTCCACATTTATTTATCCTAAAGCTGCAACATAGTTTCTGCTAAAGATTTGTGGTATTGCTTTGAAACCTCCAGACTGACATTATAAAATTTTACCTTATTCAGGAATATTTTTAAAGACTATGTGGAAGATTCAACTTATGCACAATTCAGCAGTTTGCATGTAGCTGGCTCATTTACTATTGAAAAATTATCTTCACTTGCCCACTTTTATTTAATGCCATCAGTTTGATTACTCAAGTAACATGTGCTCCCTGTAGACATATGCTAAAAAAAACATCATCCGTAACTCCCTCTGCCCAAAGATACACATCATTTACATTTTGGGAAATGTCCTTTTCCTCTGTCTACAGATATTTAGATATATTAATTACATTATTACAAAAACATATTATACATACTGTTTGATACCTGCTTCTTTTCCTCCATATATTATTGATCACTATTGATGTAAATGAATACAGACTTTCAGCAACACATGTAATGGCTGTATTCTAGTATGTGAATATACCATAAATCATTTAACCAGTTCCCTAATGACAAACATTGAAATTGTTCCCATTTATCTTTAAGATAAATGAAGGTGGTTAATTGATTAAATTATAATGCGAGTTCATAGTGAAGATCACCTTGTCTAGGAATTCCCATTTAATCTGATATTACATCAATAGCTTCTACTGAGTTACCATATGTGACTCCATATAAAGCCAAAAGCCTTATTTAAAGATCTTCTTTCATTCCTAATCTAAGAAAGACTAGTCTGCCAACATTTAGGGAATGATGCAATCTCACTGCTTACCAGGAGGAAATTTATGTTTATTGACTATATGAGATGAGCAGCTTTTCAAATAAATTTTAAAAATTAAAACCTTACACATTTGCTAAAAGCACATCAAAGATTTCATCAGTAAGCACATACTCAGAGAAGAGGGATATATATTTCCTATGGAAAAAGTCTGAAATCATACACTGAAATGGTTTATTCAACAAATCAATCTGCCTATTCTAGGCTGCGCAGAGTCTATGAATTTCAATTTTCCATCCACTCGGCATCTACACAGTGCCTGGCACACAGTAAATGGTGGATAATCATTTGTTGAAGGAACAGTGATTTTCATTATTGCAGATGAGATCATTAAATGAGAAGAGCAATTTTCATTGGTCATTTATCTAACAAACTACTCCATCTATTATGTGCCAGGCTCTGTGGGAAAAGATGAAACCAATAAATGCTGCCCGTATGTCCAAAGTACTAGGGTAGATCAATGGATATATAAATAACAGAAAAATAATGCTGGACAGTGGAAAGGGCTGTGAGTGAAACACAACATGACCTAAGATCAATTCACAAGGAGACAGAGGTCCCTGTAGTGAGGAGAAGCAGGGGAAGGTTTGTGGAAAAGGTAGCATTTGGGCCAGCCTGAGGGAAAGCAGAAAATGAAAAACGTTCAACATGTGAAGTTGAAATCAGACTCCCAATACATACAACAATTTCAGGTTTGGGGAAAGATTTGAGGCAGATGTTTTTTGGATATTCACTTAACTAAACAATTAGTAAAAACAGTAGAAAAACTGAACATACACATTCTGTAAAATGCATAGAAGAATAAATATATAACCTAGTCTTCATCCTAATGGCCTAATGCCATGAACTTCATTACAAAATACTCCTTACTGAAGTGTAAATTTTTTTTTTTAAAGATTGGCACCTGAGCTAACAACTGGTGCCAATCTTCATTTTTTTTTTTTGCTTTTTCTCCCCAAATCCCCCCGGCACATAGTTGTATATTTCAGTTGTGGGTCCTTCTAGCTGTGGCATGTGGGACCCCGCCTCAACATGGCCTGGTGAGAGTGCTATGTCCACACCCAGGATCCGAACCAGCGCAATCCTGGGCCGTTGAAGCAGAGCACACAAACTTAACCACTCGGCCCTGGGGCCGGTCTGAAGTGTAAACATTTTAAACAGCAATTTCTCTGCAAGGATGAGGTATAACTTCTATGGAAACAGGAACATAAGATCTCAAATGCTCTTGCCAACCCTTATCTGGCCTTTCTCTTCCCTGTAACCAAAGTTCACTGACAAATAATATAACAGTGCAAATAAACAACTCACCTTGACCAGAAGCCAAAGGATTTAAAGGTCTTTTAATGGTCTGTGGCCTAGAAACAGAAGAATTAAAGTACAAAATATACCTAAGTTGCTATCATATCAGAATTATTTAAGTAAAGGTGAAATTATCTCAGAAAGTCCCTTAATGATTATATCCCAAATCAAATTGTTTTACTAAGCTTATAAAATATGTAGTTTTCTCTAATTGCTTTAAGGGAGGGTGGTTGTTATTTGTTTGAGTGATAATAGTTTCTGATCTTTTCCCATTGCAGCAGCCAGAAAGTCATTTCCTAATCACTTCTTCAAACAAAGAAAAAAAAAATAGCAGTCAAGCTCTTCGCCTAGAAACACTACCTTGTTTTTATGTGTATTATTTATATGTGTGCGCACACATGGCACAAAGTGCACTCCTAACTGTCCAATAAGCAAAAAACATAAATACCCAACATGGCATTAAAATAAAAAAGGGGAAACAGTGTGGGTGGATTATTTCCGTTTAGGTGATCTCAATACATCCATTTGCCCTGCGGCCATCAGGTTTGCTATGATTTCAATAAAAGGTATTTTGTAGTAAGAAAAAAAAGAGTTACTATGTCACTACAATGCTTTTCAATCTCAAAATGCCCCTTCATCAGTAACTGCAGGGATTGTTGTAACATCCATTATTTAAATTTTACAAATTTGCACAATTTGAAACCTTTGAGAACAGAACATGTAAGCTATATTTTAACATATTCAATTTAGTGCCTTACATATTGTTTATATTTTAGAAATATTATTGGAATCATGATATAAATTAGTTAAGGAATAACTATAAATCTAATACAAAATCTAACAAATGCTTCAGTTGGACTCTATTTTAGTTCACCTTAAAAAAAAAAAACCAACCCTTTAAAGTCAGTCACTAATCTCAGTAAACCAAACATTCATAATAATAGTCAGGAGAATTTAAATGAAACACATGGCAGAAATGAGTAAATAATGAAAAATCTCCACTTTCCAAACTGGAGAAATTCTTCAAGTCAAAAAAAGAAACATCTGACATTTTACTGGCATAAGCATAAGTGCTGATCTCTTATGCTCATATTTGACTTATAAAAACTGAAACGTATTACCGCCATATCTGGGAATTCCAAAGATTTTCCCAGAATTCTCCCCAATCTGAGATAGCACAACACACACACACAAACACAAGTTTCTTCCCAAAACCAATAAGCACGCTGTTTAGAGCCTGGAGGCTTACACGTGGGTAAACTTGAAACACGTCTCAGTGACCCAGGGATCAAACTGATGGCTTCCGCTGTAGTGGTTAAGAGTGCAAAGCAGGGTCTGCCACGTACTAGATCTCTGACACTGGACAAATCATTTAGCCTTTCCAAGTCTCAGTCTCAGTGACGACTACGGCACACGGTTATTGCAGGGACTAAAGGAGAAAATGTATGTAACACGCTTAGCACGATGCGGTGTACAGGGAGCACTCAAAAGTGCCAGTTATCACAATTATTCTCTGAGATTAAGTTAACTTTAATTTTAAAGTGGGTGAAATAACTCTAGCCACAAAAACAGAAGTATAGAGCACCAAAAAGAGAATGAGGAGTTACATACTCTCATCTATTCTCTGCCACTCACTACACGATCTCGGGAAATGAAATAAACCTCTCTGGCGCTAGGTGACCACATCTATGAAATGACATTCTATCATCCACTCGAGGAACACTTGTTAAGTGTCTACAATAGTCCCATAAAAGTCTAATACTATTCTGTCTTTTCAAGAAGAAAGAAATATTTGTTGAAACTCATGTCTACATGTTTCCCCAGAGGAGAACTGTATTAATGAATAAGTATGTTCCTATGTCCAAATACATCCTTTAACAAAGTGAAATTGACTTGTACTTTTAAATCATTATGATTTCGTTTATAAAGAGAAATCACTACATCTTCCAATAATTTGTAAATGAAAATGACATATACTTAAAACAGTTTTCTTCGTAGATGACATTCCATATCTTCCAAGCATCTGGTCCCTTGTAACCCGTGTAGCGCTCAGGATTAAGGAGCAAATCTACATATTCAGCATCAGGAGACTGTATGTCTGTAAAATAAAATGTTTTATTAAATCTTTCTTTCCTTCAATTCCCACAACAAAGCTCGGCTACAGCGCTGCACTCCACTGATTCTAAGGCACCAAAGACGCCACAACGCCTCAGGGATTTAAAACAACAGTCCAGGAGAAGGACAGGAGAGAAAAGAGGAAGGGACAAACAGATACATTAAAGGTACACACTGGTTGCAAAGCATCCTGCTTTTAGAAATGGTAAAAAACAGGAATATGTAAATTTTAGAATTGATGGAAGATGGTAACTCAATTCTCATAAGCTATCCAGACAAAGAATATACTATACACTTCCCTCCAAATTAACCACAAGTAATTCATCTGTAACTAAGTAAATGAAAAAGTATTAGTACCATACACTGTTTGTTACCAAATACTCCTTCTTACCTGACCACCATCAAGATCCACCACAAACCTGTCCCAGAGACAGAACCCTAAACATGCAAAGTTGTATGCAAGATGGCATCTGTGTCAGCATTATTTATAAAAGGGAAAGTCAGAAGCAACCTCAATGTCCAACAGAGCAGAGCAGTTAAAAGCACAGGCCCTGGAGCCAGAGTGCCTGCTCAGGACCAGGCCCCGCTGCCTCACCGTGGGCAAGCTCGGGAAATTCTCTGTGCCTTGGCACCATCGTCTGTAAACTGGGGATGATACCCATAGTGTCACTGTGAGACTTAAATAAGTTTATGTGTGCAAAGTGCTTAAGACGATGGTAAAAAAATAATAAACATTAACTAGTGCTATTAATACTATAGCTTAAAAGATCATTTTGCAACCAATAAAACTGTTCAGTACAAAGACTGCTAAGTATAAAATGAAAGGATAAACCATACAGAAAAGTCAATTACATATATATGAAAAATATACAAAATTCATGGAATACTGGTTTCTCATATGTTCTATATATTTGTATAACGTATCATAACTTCAAAACAAAAAAAAATGGCCCTTGGGCCTCCAGGGGCTTTGGGAAATTACTCAACAGCACAGCAACCAAAGCAACCAAAGTGATGATAAAAATCTGAGCAGAAATGTGTTTATGACAGAATCCATCAAGCTCTCAATGGTACCTACTTCTTATTAAAAAAAACAAAAATAAAACTGAGCTTGGTTATTTTTATCCCAATTCACAGTATATTAGAGGTATAAATTAGAGGAAAATTTGCTTCTAGAAGTAACAGTGACAGCATCTAGAAATAACTGAGTCTATATGCAGAAGTGGCAATGAAAATAAGTAGAAAAAGTAAAAATAAGAACTTAAAAAACAAATTTGCATGAAATCATCGAGTTCAGGGGCAGAGATCTCTGTTCATCTAAATACTAAATACTAAAGGTATTGCCACAGTATAGCAAATTATAATAAATTCATTAAAAATAGCCCTAATTCTTAAAATATATAAATAATGCTCAGCAGCTAGTACTTTAGGACAGAAAACTAACCAACAAGAATGATTAAATTTTTTATATTCTGCCTAATTAGAGATAAACATTGGTTTCCTCTAAATTTTACTTACGCTAAATATTTCTCCTCTCCCAACTTTATAAAAAAATAAATGTTACTATATTTTGCCAGATGACGAAAGCTCAGATTTCTAATTAGGATTTATAAAATACCTTCTGTACTCCACCTACCATTTATATACATTATTTATTCCTTATAAATCTTTTTTTTTAATATTCAGACAAGTGATTCACCCAAGATAAGAGAACTCCACCGCAAAAGTCAATTACTGCATCTCAGTCCTTGTTACACAAATGTAAGCATGTAATGTCAAAAGGATTCTTTGGTAATCGAAGTTAAAGTATTCCCATTCTTGCTCTAACACCGCAGGCCTAAAAAAGAATTTCCTGTATAAGTTTAATATTTTCTCACATAGCAATGTTTAGGCCAAAGAATACTCGTGGAAAAGACAGCAAAATAAGCACGTTGGGGGAGCATTTATCCCCTTCCTTTCCTAGCCTCGATCCTGATGCAAGTCCACAGCTCCCCATCCTACACCCTGCAGCCAAACGTGCTTCAGGACTCAGAGCTTCCCAGACTTCAGAAAGGTAATGCAGAACGTGCAACACACATTGAATATTACTCTAACAGGGACTGGGGCAGCAACTTTAATCAAACAGGTAAATATTTCTGCAGTGAAATACATGAATATTCACACTGAATGAATCTATGCTAAACTCAGGGGGGGAAATGTGCATTTTTCAGAGTTTTCAGATTTTAGAATTAGGAATAAAAAATTATAGATACGTATTTGCCAAAAGACAGTCATGTTTTATATTAAGGAAAGTATATATTTTTTTTCCCAAAAAGAAGCCACAAAATTAAAAATAAGTACTTTCTCTTTTTCCTCCTCTGTTTTTGGGAGTGATTGCAGGCTTCATCTTTTGCTTGTAATTATAATGATCTGCATCATCCTTTTCACTAATTTTTTTAAAAGATCATCAATCTGCTCCAAAAGAGCCACAGAAGGATACTAAAACTCAGTTTGATTTGATTTTGTTTAGCCAAGTAAAGGCTAACGCAATTCAGTTTCGAAAAAACACAGACACGAGAGAAAAGGGCAAACAGGAGGATCCATACACTTTGGCCAGAGTTCTAATGGGCTCTGGGCTCCCGGATGCTCAGGGCACCAGCTCTGCCTCAGCTTCAGAAGAAGCTGATACAACTGGTGGTTCATCATTGTCCTTCCCAAAGTAATGAGAATCATCACAAAGGAAAACATTTAACAATTCAATAAAACAGAAGCAGGTTTTTGCAATCTCTGCATTTTAGCTATTTATGCAAAATGCCTATATATATCACAAAAATTATATGTATCACTAGATACATAGTTTACCTTGAGATGAACTCAAGAGGTGAATTTTTTCCAGAAACTGACTTTTCTTTTTAAATTTTTTATTGTGGTAAAATATATATAACATAAAATTTACCATTTTAAACATATTTAAGTGTACAATTTAGTGGCAATAATTACATTCACAGCGTTGTGCAATCATCACCACAGTTTCCAAAATTTGCTCACCCCAAACAGAAACTCTATAACCATTAAGCAATAACTCCCCATCCTCCTCCCCCTCCAACCCATGGTAACCTCGCATCTACTTTCTGTCTCTACCAATTTGCCTATTCCAGTTATTTCATATAAATGCAATCGTACAATACTTGTCCTTTTGTGTCTAGCTTATTTCATTCAGCATAACATGTTCAAGGTTTATACATGTTGTAGCATGTGTCGGAAGTGTATTTCTTTTTATAATTGAACGGTACACCGTTGGATGTATAGACTACACTTTGCACGTTCATCCATCCATTCATGGACACTCTAGCTGTTTCCCTTTTGCTATTGTGAATAACACTGCTGTGAATGTGGGCATACGAATATCTGTTTCCCTGTATTCAATCTTTTTGGGTAAATACTTAGGAGCTGAACTGTTACATTATACGGTAATTCTATATTTAGCTTTCTGAGGAACTGCCAAACTGTTAGAAACTGAGTTTTAAAAAATTATTTTAAAAGAATTATTTTTTTCTTAGGCATGATTTTAAACAATGCATACTGTAAAAAATGTTATACCATCGGCTTCACAGAAGTTGTCTGAGGAATCGTCATGCTTGGTCCACTGAAGAACAGCCTTCTGTGTTTCCTCACTTCAAACAAAGAAAATAAAGAGTGGTTTGGTTTTTGTTTTTAACATTTCACATAAAATATTACTGGGGAAAAAAAAAATCAAACCTCAGAGACTCATCCACAGCTCCAAGTCGTTCGGCTTGTTCACATTCTTCAATGAGACTATTGGCTTCTTCAGAATACTAAAATGAAAAGGGGAATCGAGAGAAGACAACTTACCGCATTTTTTAAATTTTTAAAAAGAATTTGAAAGTTATCTGAGGTTCTTTTAATACCTGGCACCATCTCTTTGGCTTCAAACTTAAAAAAAACTAAGCCTTCACATTCCTCTTGAAGCTAAAAAGGAAGTAAAAAGCATCACCCTGTTTTTGTTAGAGGACACGTTTACTATTATGCTCACAAAATAAAGAACCGATTATGGTTCTGATAACTCATTACCAAAAAGTTCACTAAGAAAATCTTCTAGGTATAAGGAAGCCACTAGGCAAGGAGTCATGAGGCAATGTCCACTTTTCGACGGACCTAATTAAGAGCATCAGTTTTCTCTTCCATAAAATAAGTGGTTAGACTAGATCACCTGTGTCTAAGATCCATCTCAACTCTAAATGCCACGATTCTAAAAACGCCCTGGAGCCTACCAAGTCTCATAAAAAGTATTTCAATATCTTTAGTTGTTTAAAATCACTAAGTCACTTTATATATGTGTGTGTGTGTATATATTCTGCTAGGCATGTATGTGGCACAGGGGAAGCAAGCATGGATCATAAGATTTCAAAACACACCAATCATCACCACCATACATCTGAAAGACAACCTTGGAAGCAGGAAGCCACAAATTGAATCACTCAACAAATATTTATTGAGCACCTATTAATGACCCTACAAATGACTGTCTAGACTACGGCACCTTTGTGGATAAAAAAGAACACTAAAATAACTGAAATGATATAATTTTTTGAAATATTTATTTACTGAATAAGAACTTTGTTTCATTATACTGGTTAACCTATAAGACAGCTCAATTCAAAAACTATCTTCAGGGGCTGGCCCGGTGGCGCAGTGGTTAAGTTCGCACATTCCACTTTGGCAGCCGGGGATTTGCCAGTTCGGATCCCAGGTGTGGACATGGCACCGCTGGGCAAGCCATGCTGTGGTGGGCATCCCACATATAAAGTAGAGGAAGATGGGCACGGATGTTAGCTCAGGGCAAGTGTTCCTCAGCAAAAAAAAAGAGGAGGAATGGCAGTAGTTAGCTCAGGGCTAATCTTCCTCAAAAAAAAAAAAAAAAAACTATTTTCAAAAATAAAATTCTTGGGGCTGGCTCTATGGCTGAGTGGTTAACTTCCCACGTTCCGCTGCGGCGGCCCAGGGTTCAGATCCTGGGCGCGGACATGGCACTGCTCACCAGGCCATGTTGAGGTGGCGACCCACATCCCACAACTAGAAGGACGTGCAGCTAAGATATACAACTGTGTACGGGGGGGGGGGGTTGGAGGAGATAAAGCAGAAAAAAAAAAAAAGATTGGCAACAGTTGTTAGCCCAGGTGCCAATCTTTAAAAAAAATTTAAAAAATTACAAATAAAATTCTTTTTTTTTTAATTGCTTTTTCTCCCCAAAGCCCCCTGGTACATAGTTCTATATTTTAGTTGTGGGTCCTTCTAGTTGTGGCATGTGGGCCACTGCCGCAACATGGCCTGATGAGCAGTGCCATGTCCGTGCCCAGGATCCAAACCAGCAAAACCCTGCGCTGCCGAAGGGGAGCATGCGAACTTAATCACCCAGCCACAGGGCCGGCCCCAAAATTCTTTTATACATAATTAAGTATTAAGGGGTAAAGTGATACGATAAGTCAACCTACTCACCAATGGATCAGAAAGTAATAAGAATATGAATATAAGAAAAAGCATGCTAAAACAGATAAAGCAAAATATTAAAAATTAGTGAAACTGTATAAAGAGTATACAAAAATGTCTTTATACTAATTTTGCAAGTTTTCTATAAGTTGGAAATTATTTCAAAATAAAAAATCAAAAAATGAACAAAATTTGTTCAAAAAATTACATATACCTATGTATATTAATACACCTATGTATATTAAAACAAAAACTTAAGAACTTCCTTATTATAATTACCTGCATATTGAAACATAAGTTAAACAAGACAACTATTCTTAATTCCTATTTAATAACTTGATCAGCTTCATAAGTCACATCTGTCTCAATACTGTGTCATTGGTATTTTTCTGAAAAGAATATTTTTCAATTTTATTATTTTTGATTTTTCATAAAACTGTCCATAATCTTCTTCAAACTTAATTTTTATGGTTTATCAACTTGAAATCATCAATACTTTCAATCGACTCTTCCCTGAAGACATAATTTTTAATTGAGAAAATATCCTCTCTATATATGTGAAAATATTTTAGCCCAGATATTTTCACAAATCCTATTCTTTTGACTCCAAAGTATATTTCTTCAATAAATATTGTAAGACAAATTTCATCAAATAAGTTCTCTATTTTTTTATTATTTTAAATGTTTTGCCAAATATAGATGCTACAAAATTGTAAGCCTTCTTAATCTCATTCAATTTCAGTCAGAATATAAATTAATCCAAGAAAAATAAGAGTTTCATCAAGAGGAGAGTCTTCTCACAAGTGACGATGCGCCAAAACACAATTCTAAAATTTCAGAATGAAATCTAGCACACCATTTGAAAATTCCTCACTTAATTGGTTCAATTCCTCGCAGATTTTGTGGGAATAAACTTCAAGGTCTTTGTTTATAAGCTTTGTTATAATAATCGCAATTTGCTAAACCTTCAAAAGCTGAAATTTGTTTTTTTCTTTAAGCATTCTATTCATTGATACTTTGAATAATGGTTTTCTACTGATTTTAAACAAATTGCAATCAACACTTAGGGGACTCATTTATTAAAAACTGATCAATACCACTGAAGAACGCAGGTTGTTTTACAAAACAGTTCTTCAAAGGCTCAAACATTCATAAAATCTGACTGCAGACGGACAGCAAAGTACTCCTGCCATGCCAAAGGAGCATTTTTTTCAGAATTACCTTCATCTCAAAAATTTTATGATCACTACTTAGTGTACATATAAATATAAAAACCTATATATTTTGACAATTACCAATTCTATCTTAACTGGTAAAATATCATAGCGTGTTTTGACACAAATATGAATTACGTGTATATCTTAACCAACTACAAATTCATTTCTGCCCCACAGATTTGATTCAGTAAAGACACTGTTTTTACCAGGACACTGTTTTCATCAAAATTTGTATGTGTATATGTAAGGTGGAGGATGGAAACAAGACTTTTAATGATGAATACGATGCAGTCTACACAGAAGCCAAAATATGATGTACAGCTGAAATTTACATAATGCTATAAACCAATGTGACATCAATAAAAAAAAAATTTGTGTGTATTATCACCACAAAATAAATATTGTCTTCAATTTTGAACTTTAAATAAATTTATATGAGCATTCACAATAGCGACAAATGTTTTACTTCAACAGAATGAACTTCCAAAAGTTTTACTTTGAGTCCATCAATTGAATGAAAAAAATAAAATAATTTTTGGAGTTAAATTATTTTCTATTTGAAACAGCTGATGATGGCATCATTTAACTATGTGCAAAGATCTGCTATTGGAGCCAACATATTAATAGCTATGACACTTCACTATTTGTATGTGAACAAGAAGACGTGGAATCAAAAATTAGTTTAGAATATATGATGGGAAAAGTGCAGAAAAGTAGTTGCCTCTGGGGGAAGGGGTAGGGACTGACTGGGACATGGTATGAAGGAACCCTGGGGTAACGGTAATGTTCTATATTGTAACCAGAGCCTCAGTTACACAGGTATACGTATTTAGCAGGTATCTGTATTTCAGCAAATGCTCATTTTTTTACAAAAAATACATACAATCAAATACAAAAAGGACTCTAGTTAATGACATACTTCTAGTTACATATATATATATATATATATATATATATATATATATATATATATCTAGTTAGTGATATATATTTAGGGGGATGTGTACCAATGCTTGAAATTTACTTTGAAATGCATCCAAAAAATATGTTTTTAATGGATGGCTAGAAGGATGGACAGATGGACAGATATGTGGTAGTTTACAAAAATGTTAATGGTAGAATCTAGGTGATGGGTATAAGAATGTTCACAGGAAAATTCTTCAACTTTACTGTATGTATAAAAATTTTCACATTAAATATCAGGAAAATTTCATTTAGAACAGTGCTTTAGCCTAAATG